GAAATAAGCTTCACTTAAAACTAAATTATTCAGGTCATTCTAAGCTATTCCAAGCTCACCAAATTTAGCACATTGAGAGTTGGTTTTGAAGGTTCTTTTCTCCTAATGGGTGGGAGGGCAAGGGAGAATGGTTAGTTAAACTGAAACTGATAAAAACCCCTCCCTAATTTTTCATTTAAAGCTGAAATACATTTTTGTAAATCTTCTTTTAATCCCGAATATGCTTACTTACAAATTCATAAGAATATATAAAGATATTTAAGTGCATGCTATTTTCCTGGCCAAGATATGTTAATACAAATGAATGCAGAGTGATACCTCCTACTAACTGCTTTTAATAAATTAAACCTAAAACAGAAGCGTTTTATGACAGCAGGCAAAGGTTCCCTAACCCTACCTTAATTACATAAGGCTGTAATAATCAAAGGTTACTTTGTTAAGTTATATACATTTCACTGTTCCCTACATTCATTCAAGATTTCCACCTCTTTTGCTCAAATGGAATACTGTATCTGTAGCATTTGTATGTTTTCAACATTTACTCAATTTAAATTTCATTTTATATTCAAACTCTCAAGGTAGGTTCTCTGTTTAGACAATATGACTTGTAAAATCGAAAAGCAACTGGCAGCAGGCAGGCAGTAAAATTAGCCTTTACACTAATTGGAAAGTGACCGAGAGATTGAACTCTAGAGCAGGATGTCCCTGCCTCAAATTCCTCCTCCATCACTTTTCATCAGCAAACAATTTAAGTAGTTGTGAGATAAAATATGATACAAAATATGAAAGTACATAGGAAAGCGGGGGGAGGGGGGGAAGATAAGTAAGGAAGGGTTGGGAAAAAGAAAAAAGTTGATTTCCGACTTTCTCTGTTGCAGTAAAGCATTAACATAAAACCACATAATAATAATCTTGCCGCTCTCCTCCACCCCTTTTCAACAGGGATATCAATAATAGCTCTTTATCTGTAGTAAGGTACTATAGCTACAGGTACTTTTTGATTTACCGCCACAATTGAGCTGAAAATTTTTCTTTCTTACTAAGTGAGGAAGTTGTTAAGTGAATTTTGCCCCATTATATGACCTTTCTTGCCATCTGCTTGTCTTTAGTCTTTAATATATGGTGGACAAATTTTGGGTCCCTTCCTTGAAACCTATTGGGACCTGGAAGATGTGCCTTTTCTGTAGAGGTACCTGTCCTTTGGAACGATTTTCCACATCTTCCTTTCCTGCTCTGTTGCTTTTATCTTGGTTTGTTTCCTCTTGTAAGCAACCCAGAGTCCCATTGTTTGAGTTAGGGAGCCATATAAATTCTTTACATGTTATCTTCAATTTGGCTGAGAAAGAAAGGCTTATCTGAAAGCAATTAGTGCAGTGGAAAGTCGATTATTTTCAACAAGTGATTTACATGCAATTTATTCAGTAGCGCTACAGAAAGAGATTGCCATTATTTTGCTTATTTGTCAAGTTTAAAATGCTGCTTAGCTCTCTAAATTCTTTCTTTAGGTTTCCAATCTAGCCTAACAGCATGGTTTCGTGATTATCTCCCATGCAAGTACTAATCAGGTCTGATTCTTTCAAACTAAGCCAGGTGCTCTCTGTTATTGGCACATTGTGTGTGTCTGTCTGCCTGTGCCTTCCTTCAATACAGACTCAACACTTGGCAACTATTTGAAGAAGTCCTCCTAGTTTTCTTTGCAACATTTTTGGAAGTGGCTTGCCTGGTGTCTCCTTTCTAACCCAAAAACAAGAGGGACTACCCCAAAGCCATCCAGCTGACTTCGTGCCTAATGCAGAATTAGAACTGAGTCTCCAGGTTTCTACAGTGGGGGCTTTGTAGCTAACCACTACACCAATCTGGCTCTCTCCATTTAAACCAGGTCAACTCAAAGCATCAGACTCCACACACTTCCCACTGCCTCTGATTTAGATTTGTGTATTTAACAACCTCTCTACTCAGCAACCTGAAATACTGGACAGAGGTAATGCACAACATTCTGTAGTGCTACAGGAAACCGAAGATGGAAATAAGACTACCCAGCTCAAGTGTTTTCTGAAATAAAAATGAAATAGTTGACAATAACAGGTTTCTGTGGGTTCAAAGTCCTGTTTGGCAGATGCCTCTAATGGAATGACTGCAACTAATTGTAGAATGCATTTGTTAATTGCCCCACTGTCAATACACAGCCCTCATTACCTCTAAATTGTTGGTTGCAATGTTGAGTTCCTGCACCCGGCTTCGAAAAACCACCACCGGCTCATAATGCAGCCCAAGATGTCCTTATTAGGTCAACTTCATGTAATGTCTTTCATTTAAGAGACTACGTGCATTTAAAGTCTTAAAAGACCTTGGACACAATTTAGCCAAGCCATTGCTTTCCCTTATGACTTTTGCCCCTGAGAGCACAAGGACCCAGAAAGGACCTTTTCTGCCAGAATCACCACCGTCTTGTCACACAATTGGAAGGTAAACTGGTAGGCAGGATAACTTCTACGGGAGGTTCCCCCACTGCTCGCTCTCCCTTCCAACCGGTCCGGAGGACACACCGACCCAACTCTCCGACCCTCCCTCAGCTTGGCCTGTTCAAAGCCCAGCTAGGAATTCCCTCACGGAGCCCGTGTTCCCCAGCCCAGGAGGGGGGCGGGGTCGTCCCTCGCAGCCTCGGCGCCCTCACCTGCCCACCGTCTGGTTGGCCAGCTGCTTCATGCGGTTGAATTGCTTCTTCATGGTGGCGGCGGCGGCGTCGCTTTCCCGCTATTTCCGCGCCTCCCGCGCGCGACACCCGGCCCGCCTCGCCAGCGGAGCCCGCAGCGGCAGACCCGGCTTCCACCTCACTGCCCCACCGGAAGGCGCCGCGACTTCCGGCTACCGGTGCGTCACCGCCCGCCTTGCCTGCCTGCTCCGGAGCACAGGGCGGCGGCCGGAAATGCCGTCAGAGCCATAGAGAGCCAGAGGGTAGGATGGCCGCGTCCGGTGCTTTTGGAGTCTAGAGCTAGGAAAGGGGAGAGGAGTGTGCAGGGCAGATCATTCCTCCCACGTCCCGGGGGCGCTTTCTCCTTGTGTAGGGGAATTGCGCTGCTGCTCTGATGGACGGGACGCCCGCCCAGCAGATCGAAGCGGCGGACGGCTCTGGCCTGCTTGAGCGGCACATACTCCTCCAACCGTTTCTGAGCGAGGGTCTTAACTCTTCAGGCATCGCACACAAGGGCAGCTTCCTGGGGGTGGAGGGGGAGCGGGTCACGTGGAGAAAGTTGTCCCCTCTCCTGCCTCTTCTCCCCGAGCCACATTATTAGCCCGTTAACCCAGGGCTCCCCAAACTTGGCAACTTTAAGACTTGTGGGCTTCAACTCCCAGAATTCTCCAACTAGTTATGCTGGCTGGAGAATTCTGGGAATTGAAGTCCACAAGTCTTAAAGTTGCCAAGTTTGAAGACCTCGGAGTTAACCAATCTTCCCAAAAATTGGGATGCGAGGGGAAACAGACTGGGTTTGCAAAGGCAAGTTGCGCGGGATCTTTTCAGTTAAGCAAGTTTATTTAGCAAACCATAGCAGCCCATCTCGATGTGTTACCATAATAACAGTTAAAATAGTATAATCTTTAAAACTCTGGAACATGAATAAAAATATTTATTTAGCGTCTGGCAAATACATGGACTTACAGTTGTTTATCTGTAGAGAGCCAGGAAATGTAGTCTGGGTGGCACTTGTTGCTAGTCGTTTGCCATGTATTTAGAGAGCCAGGAGTTCTAAAAAGATGCCTGGCTGCCAACTGTTAACTGCCAGTTCTTCAATGTAATCTGGCTGCCACTTGTTGCTAGTTTTTTGGTTCACACTACCGTGCTATCCAGGGTGCACCACAAGGAGGCAAACTAGCATGGCACTCCATGAATAAAAATAAAAGCATGTTCAAAAAAATCTGTAGAGATTCTGTCATCCAGGTCATGATTATTCCAAAGGTGCTTTTTCAAGAGGCAACTGGACTTTAGTTGTTTTTTTTCTTTTGAAGACGTTTGGCTCCTCGTCCAAGAAGCTTCTTCAGCTCTGACAGGGTAGTGGGGAATGGTTTTTATTCCTTGCAAACAGCTGGCCATTTGCATCCTTTTTGAAGCACTTGGAGGCTTATCTGTGTCCTCAGGGTCACCTGAGTGGTGCTCCTGGTTCCTGTAGACTGCAATTTTTCTCTGGAAATCCATTCCTACTTCCACACCACGTTACAAAAAGATTGTGGGAAAATAACAGTCCCCTAACATCTGCAGCCACCCCGCAGGATCCCCATGGATCTACAAGGTTGCTGGAAAAACATGTTTCATGGGCTTTCCAGAAGGGACAGGATTGGGCTGAAGAGTGGGGGCATGTTCCAGAAGGTGGAAACCACAACAGAAAAGGCAGGTCTTGCTCCTGCTGGATGAAATGACGGACAGGACATGCAATGTCAGTCTCCTGTTGGATTTGATGACCCACTGTATAATTTACACGCTCCCACTCACCCTCCGGACCAGCCCATCAGCCGTGACCCTGTTATTAGGGAAAGCCTTTAAAACACGGGTTTTTCGGCGAACCTTCATGTGTATATTGTGCTTTCAGTATTTCTTAATACGAGTAACCTTAGGTTGTGTAAATTTTAGCTCACAGGCTGGTTGGGGAATTGAAGTCCATACATTTTTAAGTTGCTCAAGTTGAGAAACATTGACAATGCAGTATGTAAATGTGACACGATGGCGGAAAAGGGGGGTTGTTTCACCGGCCAGCCGATCGTGGGAAACGAGGAACACACGGATCCCTGCAGCTTTGAGTCCCTTTCTCGACAGTCCTCGCGAGTAAGACTAAAATCCCCATAATGTCGAGGGGCTATTTCCGTTCTCTAGCAGAAAACACGCCCCTTTCAGGAGAGGACTACAATTCCCGGCGTACTTTGCTTTTCGCACCACACGCGATATGGCCCGTATCGCCCTTGATTAGCCACCGGCACCAGCCTGGCCAATAGGAAGAGAAAGGGGCGGGGAGAACGCCGTCTTCCGGCCTCCCAAGGGCTGCTTCCTGGCCCGGCCAATGGGGGAGAGCGTTGCTGGTCGATTCCGGCGGCGTCGCGCTCTGAGGGGACCTCGGCGGCGTCGGCCCGGCATGGGCAGCCCGCGCTCCTCACTGGCGTCCCTCCGCTGAGCAGCCGCGACAGCCATGGCCGGCACCTCCCGAGACCTGGTGGGCACCGACGTCTTCGACGAGGCCGTGCGGAGCACCTGCGACGTCGCCTCCCACTGCAAGCGGTGAAGAAGCGGCTCGGGCAGGGCGCGGGGAGGCCCCTTTCTCGCCCGGCAGGGCCCGCTGAACCGGGGCGGGCGAATTGTGGCTCGCCAGTCAGCGGGCGGTAGCGCCTGGCGGTATCTGGGAAGCCGGAGGGGCTTGGAACCCGCAGGCCGGGATGGGAGACTGACGCGGCGTAGTTTGGCTCAGCCGAGGCGGTTGCAATCCCGTTTCATGCCTTCCGTGAGCTCCGTCCATTGTGGTGGATGAGGGGAAATCTGGGCGGGGGGCTCACCTGGAAAGGACCCCGTGCAAAGCCCTCGCTTGTTGACTGAAGAAAACCTACGGCCAGAGCGCAGGAAGGCCCCCTGCTGCCTCAGAGCGACCGCCTGGCTGCCCCCTTCCCTTCACAACCCTCGGCCTTCCTTTCCCTCCCAGCTTTGGCCCTTCCCAGCTCCCGCTTGAGAAGAGCGACACTTAATGGCTGGAGGGAGATTTGCACCTCGGACTCTTTCCTTTTTCTCCAGCCATCTAGAAGGGTGTTATTTATTAGTTGTATTAATAATACAACTAATATTAGGGGGGGGGATTAGGATTGTAGATAATCAGAAGCTAGTAATAAATCAACAGCATGACTTGGTTGCCAAAATGACAAGGGTACAGGTAGCCCTCGACTTACAACCGTTCATTTTGTGACCGTTCAAAGTTACAACGGCACTGAAAAAAGGGACATGGCCATTTTTCAGAGTTACAATCTTTGCATCCCCATGCTCATGTGGTTGAAATCCTGATGCTTGACAATTGATTCATCTTTATGACGGTTGCAGTGCCCTTAGACCACGAAGTAATTGCTTTTTGCAGTCTTCTGACAAGCAGAGTCATTGGGGAAGCCAGATTCACTTAACAACTGCAGTGATTCACTTAACAACTGAGGCAAGAAAGGTCATAAAATGGGACAAAACTCACTTAACAAATGTCTCACTTAAAATAAATTTTGGGCTCAATTGTCATAAGTTGAGGGCTACCTGTACTTTCAGCCAGCTTCAATTAAGGAATTTTTGTATGTTCCAAATCATAGTTCCACAGAGTAATCATTCTATTCTCGACAGCACTACAGTAGTGGCCAAAATTGTGGAAACCTTTTGGGAAAGGTGTACAGTATTTTTGAGGTTTGGTGGCTAATAACACCACTTCTTTTGGAGTAGTACCATAAAATTATATATCAATGGAAAGATATTTTAATCAAGAATGTAATGCAATAACTCCTTTGAAGGATTTGCTATTAGAATAGCAGTTATAAAAGTGAAACACATAGAAAAAAATGAGATGTACAAAAATGATCAATGAGATATACAAAAATTATCACCATGTAAGTAATACTTACTTGGGTAACCTTTAGTGTGAATTACGGCCTTAAAACGTCTTCCCATGGAATGAACCAAGTCTTTTAGTTCTGCAGCTGTTATTTGTGATTGCTTCTATTAACTGGGTTTTATTTCAGGCTATATTTGGCTATAACTTTTCATAGCATACAGATAATTGAACAAACTTTGTTGCATCACATTCTTGAATAAATTATTTTTCCATTTATATATAATTTTATGTACTACTACTCCAAAACAAAAGTGGTGCTATTAGCCATCAAACCTCAAAAATATACTTTTCTCAAAAGTTTTCCACAATTTTGGCCACTACTGTATGGTAGCCTCATCTATTGTACTATGTTTGGGGCACCCCACTTAATGTCTTTAAACAGAAGATGGGTAAATATTTATAGGGGATGTTTTAATATTGATTTCTGCCATAAGCAGATATTTTATCTAATCCTATTAGGCTAGTGCTCTCCTTGCATCCAGATATGTACAAACTTGGTTTTGATTCAGTGGTTTTCTCCTAGATTGATGGTTCACATTTTTCTATTAGTATCACCTGCCTTTTGAGAGCAGCAGCTGCTTCTGAAAGTCATAAATATTTTGAAGAGTCTCTTTGCCATCTCTTAAACATGGAATAACAATATTAATTAGCCTAATTTAGTTAAAGTGCATAAGACCTACTTTTCTAATTTAGATGGATATTCATATAATTTTTGTTTAAAATATTTTGTTTTCAATGGAATTGGATTTGTTAAAATCCAATTTGTTTTTCTTTTTGTGTTCAGGTATGCTGTCAGTGTTGGCTACTGGAAGGACCCTTACATTGAATATTTTGTAAGCCATCCAAAAGAAAGGAAGGCACCTGAAATCAGCCGTGGTAGGTTATAAACAAATGTGTGTGGGGCAACTTGTGTTGCTTCATGAACATACAGCAAAAGGAAGAAAGGAAGAGGTGGGTGGTGGATGGGAGCTAACTAACAAAATCATTTTCAAATGTTTTCAAAGCTAAAATATGTCAACTAATTGTGTTTTTTTTGTTTTTTGTTGTTTTGCTAAGGGTATTATGCCCGGGTCCAAGGAGTTGGTCGTTTACTTAAGGCTTTCTTAGAAAAGACAAAATGCAATTGCCAAATTATAAATCTTGGTGCCGGCATGGATACTCTGTTTTGGAAATTAAAGGTGAAATAGCTTATGTTATCTCAAGTGTGATCTCTGATTATAATTTCTAAAAGACTTTGTTTTCCCCCCACTTTTATTGATTATATAATGAAGCGGTAGGCAAACTGGTATCCTCTAGATAATTTGGATGTCAGCTGTCACCAACTCCATCCAATATAGTTGAAGTGAAAGGATTATGGGGCCTTGTTATCCAAAATATCTTAAGGATACAGATTTCTATCTTAAAACGAAACAGTATAAGTCTAGTTTATGTTCCAGGGAATTCGGCTATTCATTCTAATTCACAGGACACACTGTAACTTACAAAGCATTTCATTGGTGGTGTATATCAGTGAAAATTGTTTCTAGAAAACAGCATGCAGCCACTAAGCTTTGGACATGGCTGAGCATTTCATGATCTGCAGAGTGCACATGATAGTAAAAAAATTCTGCTCTTAGAAGTCTGTGTACTTTTTCTCTTACTAGTAAATCAATGTTCTTGAATAGGATTGCCAGGAAGAGGGTAAATCAACCCATCTAACCTCTCTCAAGCAGATTATTGCGATTGGGTCATTGCTTCCATCTTTTCCCCTGCTTTTTGCTTAGAATAGTTGGGGGATTCGGTTTAGGAATATAGTTTGAGCAGGAGAAAGACATGCCTAACTATGACTGCAGAATCCTAGTCTAGCAACCTTGAAATCACAAAAGTCAGGACCGAAAGCAAAACAATGGGATGTTTCTTTTGCCCTCAGTGAAAATATTGGAACTTATTTGTTTTCCCCTACTTTTTAGGATGAGAATCTTCTTCCTTTGAAATACTTCGACGTTGATTTTCCATCTATAGTATCAAGAAAAATTCACTACATCAAGTAGGTGCTGGAATCTGTATTATATTTGAACAACTGAATTAATGCATTTGTCTTTGGAGAAGAATTTTAGAATAAAATAACTAGAAGTGATACTAAAATAGTTATACTTTAATTACTTTGTTCTGAAAATATGATGTAACACAAGCGAGTATATGTAAAATCGTATCTGCTATCTTACAAATTTCACTTTTAGACTGTTGCCTGATTAGATGTGACTGTACTACTATGAATGTTTGATGGAGTTTTTGTACATTTCTGCCTTTTCACATCTCTTGTTTGCTCCAAAGCAAGAGTTCCGCATAATAGTTGCAGTTTTGCCAAAACACAAGGAAGGGTGCCATTCTTTTTGTCAGTATATTGGACAAGTGATAGTTCATAGACTTGTAGCTGCTATCACATAAAGTTGAAAGGGATAGTTCGTTCCCCCTCCCCTTTTTTTGCGTTAATCTGAAAATAGGAAGACGAACTTTCGTTACAATTTCATGGTGGTGGCCTTTAAAGCTGCTATGATTATTTTGCAGAAGATTGTTTTAAACAATTGAGAAGCAGGCATGTTCCCTTCATCAAGTAATTGTGAGAGTGAGTTCTCACCCAATTAAAAGCAAACAGATAGATAATCAGTTCAGTCTGTTAACAAAACAAGTAACAGGAAATCCTTTCCCACACAAAGGATAATTCTAATCTTTTGCATCACGCTGCCAGAGAAGGCAATAAAAAACAGAGATGCATAAGTGACCACAAATACAGAAGCTTATAATGATGTCATGTATGCGTACTCTAGTTACTGTAAGAAGTCTAAATAGGATAGCTTTAGCTTATAAATAGAATCAGCCAAACAATTATATCTATAAAAAACTTATTGTTGGATTTAAGGATTAGCACAGACCAAAGTATTTTTGTAATAATCAGAAATATATTTAAAAAAACAAGCATTCTTAAAAACTCTTAAATAAAATGGAAAACAAAGACAAACATGAAAATAATTTTACTTTCTAATATATCTGTAAACTACCAGTAATTATCTAGTTTAAGTGTCAGAGATTTCTGATAGGTGCAAGCCAAGTTAAGCAATGTTTGGTTAGTGAAGAGGGATTTATAGCCGGGTCCAGGAAGTTTATTCTTTAATGAATTCCTTATTAAATAAATAAAAGTTGCTTAGAGTCCCATCTGGCAAGATGGGAAGACAACATTACATGAATGTTCTCTGTGTTGGTAGAAAAGAGTGAATGTCCTTAAATATATGATCTTGGGATTTCAAAAGAAGCTCAAAGTGTCTAAAAGTACTTTTAAAGAATTCTTCAAATTACAGGTAGTCCCCAACTTACAACAGTTCATTTAGTGACCGTTCAGTTACAATAGCACTGAAAAAAATGACATGACTGTTTTTCACACTTATGGCAGTTGGCGCATCCCCATGGTCACATGATCAAAGTTGGGACATTTGGCAACTGACTCATATTTATGACAGTTGCAGTGTCCCGGGGTCACATGATCACCTTTTGTGACCTTCTGACAAAATCAAAGGGAAGCCAGATTCACTTAACAACTGCGTTATTAATTTAACAACCACAGTGATTCACTTAACAATTGTGGCAAGAAAGGTCATAAAATGGGGGAAATTCACTTCATTGTCTCGCTTAGCAACAGAAATTTTCAACTCAGTTGTGGTTGCAAATCAAGGATTACCTGTAATTTCTGCCATACAGATTTGCAGTACTAGCAATGGACACATTAACTCTGAACAGTGAGGATCGCATCGTCTTCCTTCCTCTTGAAAGCATCTCTATTGACTTGGCCTTTCCTGTCCAGCATCACCTGTGGATGTTTGGCTCAGGGAAAGTCCCTTTGATTCAGACAAGCACATGAGGGGCTCTCAGCCTCTGTTTTGTCTCACTTAGGCCAGTGCAGAAGGTGACCCTGCAGCCCACTCCCTTGGCTTGTTTTCAGAAAGTCCAGGCCCATTCTGGTTTTGGTGTAGGAAGGACGACGCTTTACCTGGTGACTCATGGGCTCTCTCTTCCCTTCCTGTTCCTCCTTCACAGATCAAAGCCTCCTCTCTCCAAACCAATCATGGAAAGCCATTTAGGGGAGACGGTTCTCATAGGTGAGTCACTTGGAGTAGGGCAGCTTTTTTAGATTTCTCTCACGTTTCCTCTGTGGGGTTGTTTGTTCTTCCCTGGTTTTCTTTGACCAGCCAGCGGCTGCATCTTCCCCATCAACACCAGAATAGGAATTCAATGCTACAAAATTTAAAAAAGCGATGGATTTGTAAAATTCTGAACTAGTCTCTCCCTTAGACCTTTGTTAGCTTTAGGAGCCAGTCAGTTGGGTTGTGTTGAAAGACCTGAGACGTTTGCTCACCCCTGCAATGGCATCACTGGGGAGGCTTCCCATCGTGACTGTAGATAGTGACACGGGTGAATTTGTAATGGGCAGTCTCTTCCAGGGTCTAACCAAGATTAGAACTGGGATCAAATCCCCTTGGAAATCCTCTTTGCCTTCTGGTCCTTCCATGAGACTTTGGCTTCCAGGGCTTGGTGCCCTCAAATCCCCCCTTTCCCACAAAATCAGCAAGTTCTGCTTGTACCTGCGGCTGCTGAAAGGACGCAGGGCTTGAGCTAGGCTTCTCTTTCCTGAAATCATGAAAGGAGCAGGCCCATAAAAGAGTTTGGGAATGTGCTTCCTGCTTGTTGACACACCTCCAGTGGCCTGGTCCTTCCTTTTTTTCTGCCAAGGTAGGTGCTATCTTTGCACAGTCCCTGACCACTTCATGTTAAGACTGATCTGTCGGTCATCCCTCCCTCGCCCCACCTAGTCCCCTCCCACCATTGTGGCAGGTTATCAGCACTGGCAGCATAGATTTTAAGAACAGCCTTATTGTGTCGTCACATTTTTTTAGCAAAGCTTCAGGTTTTGTCAAGTATATACAAGCCCTTTGAAAAGTCCCTGCAGATCTGCATAGCAGTACATCTGTACACTGGCTGCATCGTGTGGCCTCTGCCTTTCCTGGGCTGTTCAGAAGGAGACTGAGACACTGCAGTGCTTTGGTTTTCCAACTGTTAAGTCAGCCTCCCCAACCCCTCCCACTCGTGCTCTTCACCTCTCAACACCCATCCTCTTGGCTGTTCTCTGAACTCCCACTGATCTCTGTCCTGCCTGGCAGCATTTTTCTGTTCCACCACCATCAAAAAGGTTGGTTGGTTCGAATTTCTTCTCTCATTAAATGGTATGCCCGCAGAGGGTTGAAGCAACTATGGAGAGTCCCAGATCGCTTCTCAGAGAAGCAGGTTCCTTGGAATCTTGAAAGAAAAAATAATTCCACCCCCCCCTTCCCCCCCCCTAATTTACTTAGTGGGAACATCTTTTTTCTGCAAGATCCCTCAGTATATGACCCTGTTTACAAAAATGTTTTCCCTGCTTTTGTTTTGGCAGCAGGGTTTAACTTGGCTTGGGATGATAAATGTGTGTTTCACTTTGATTTAAGTGTGTTTTAAGATGGGGTGAGATACACATTTTTGAGAAGTAGCTTTCTAAGATGTATAAACAACAGTAAGTAACTATTACTATTAAGAAAGAAACCTTTGCTGTATATCAAATAATTTAAGCATTGTGCAGCTGTTTATAAGAAATTTTATAATTTAAACAACTTTGTTTATCAATATTATATTATACAAATATACAAATCATATTGACAAACTTTTTTCTTTATTTTCAAAGTTCTAACTTGATAATTAAGCTAAATCATCTAAGTGTTAATAAACTCTAGTCCATTTTGAATAAATACCACTGTACCCAAATAATGTACGACTCTTGTTTTGTAATAATACAATAAAACAATATTAAAAGGGGGTGAAGGGTTTGACTTATGTATATTACCAGTAATGTGTGAAAATCTGGCATTGTACAGAATGCCTAGAAAATCTAAGAATGTGTGATGGAATGGAGCAGGAAGGGATGTTGGAGGTCTTCTTATCCTGCCCCCTGCTCAAGCAGGAGAACCTAGACCATTTCAGACTGTCTAGACTCTTCTTAAAATCCTCCAGTGATGAAGCCCGCATAACTTCTGGAGGTAACTTCTGTTCCACTGGTCGATTGTTCTCACTGTTAGGAAGTTTCTTCTTCGTTCCAGGTTGCTTCTCTCCTTGATTAGTTTCCATCTGTTTTTTCTTGTATTACCCGCCGGTACTTTGAAGAATAATTTGACTCCCCACTTCTTTGTGGCAGCCCCTCAAATACTGGAATACTGCTGTCATGTCGCTCCTAATTCTTCTTTTCCTTAGAGTAGCCATTTTAGGCAAAGTATGAAAGCTATATTATTTCAAGATGCTATATACTTTCTCTAGGCATTGTATATAATACCTAGGCTTTATGCAGAATGACAAGAACTATTTAGGCAAAATATGAAAAGAGAACCATCAAAAGGGTTTGGGTTACAGTTAAGATTAATCGTTTATTGAAATACATATCTGAAAATGAAGGAAGGAATGCCAAATAAAAAATGGTACTTTTCTAATTGAAAAAAACAAGAAAAAAATACCATTATTGACAAACTTTTTGCAACGAGCAAGGCAAGAATGGCATTTTAGCAGAAGTATTTTATATGGTTTGCTTTCTGGTGTTGCATAGAAGGCCTAGGAAATGTGTGAAATGTTAAATTCTTTGATGTCCCATTTTTGGCATTCTATAGATTCCCTAGGTATTCCATAAAATGCCTACTTTCATTGATAGTAACATCTCAGTATGGGATGGGCTACAGAACATAGGGAAATGTCTACCAGTTTTTTTCTAGGGGGTTCCCCTCCCCCCATCTTTGATTCCCCCCAACATACATGATTTCTGAGAGGAAGTGGTTCCAAATTGTTTGGACTTGAGATTAAAATCCTTCAAATTGTTTGCAAAGCTCAAGCCTGTAGACTTTCTCAGCTGCCATCAATATCAACTTCTCTGAAAAAGGTGAAATGCAATGTCGTTGCCCTAAAATAATTTATTTTATGTTATCTCCCTGCCTCTGAAAGCAAGAGGATCTGTGGCTGGCTTTAGAGTTTTCCTTTTGTGAAAGATGTGGACATTTGAAGCTGCTCCTCAGGGAGTCCTTTAGAGGGAATTGGCTGTTAAAAGGGTTTGCCAACCTCTTTGACCCCCCCTCCCCAAACAGATGGAGAAAAAAGGGCCTTGGAGTCAGAAACCCCAAGACCTGCAAGGTTCCTTACTTGCTTTTGGGGACACGGCTGTCATTGTCCTTAGTTGGGGAGCATTTAAAAATAGCTGTCCCTGTTGAATCCTCTGCAGATGCACATAGTTTGGACACCAGCCGATATGCCATTGTTGGAGGTGATCTTCGAGATCTACCCAAACTGGAAGAACAACTGAAGAAATGCAACATGGATCCAAAGTAAGATGGGCACTAGAATCTCTATGGCTCCCATCCTGATGGCATTCGGGGAACCCTTAAAAGACTTGGCTCTACTCCCGTCCTGGCTCGGGTGGTTGGGGGCCCTGCTATAGTTACCCTGAGCTGCCATCAATTTTGGTTTCTTATTCTTTTATTCTTTTACATTTATCACATTCTGCCTTTGTATTCTTGGCTTTATGGCCTAGAGTCGGGTGGCAGCTAATTCGAATAAATTACAATTGTACAACGGGAATTTCTGGATACACAAGACAATCTTTTCAGGACTTCTTGCAGTACCTAGAATCGAAGATCCTGAATTCTTTCAATCCCTTGCCCTTTCTTCTTTCCCTGTTTAAAAGTTTGCCAACACTACTGATGACGGAATGTGTGCTGATCTACATGACCATGGAGCATTCGATTGACCTCATTAAGTGGGTGGCAACCACATTTCGGTCTGCCATGTTTATCAACTATGAGCAGGTAAGTGAGGCTCCTCTGTTGCCCCTTTCAGTGTCCAAACCGTGTGCAGTAGAGGTGCCCTCATTTCAGGGCATGGCTGCTTCAGGGTTAGGGCTTGGTGAGGTTATAAAGACGGTCCCCCAGCAAGACATTATTCTGGTCCGTGTTTGAATTTTGCTATTTCTGCATTGCTTCCCACACAATACAAGAGGAGAGATCTTCTCAAACTGGATTAATTATTTCTTGAGAAGAAGAGCTTCTGAGTCAGAGGTGGTTGAACTCAGAGATATAGACCTGGAAACAACCTTACTTTTTATTAAATATTAATCTGTGGAGTCTTAACGTGCTGGCATTTTAACAGTGATGCAAGCTGCATCCTTATGAAAAGGATAAACCGCTCTCAGAAAGGTGCAAGTGACAGATTTGAATCTGCAATTTTGGGTATGAAAGCAGTTGCAACTGGAAATAAAAGCTCTGTTTGCCTCCTCCCCCCAGTATTATTAGACTGACCCCTTTGCAAATCGGAGTGTGGTGACAATTGGGGTCATACTGAGTGGCTCTGTGAGCATTATTTTTATTATTTTAAAAATCTGTACAACATCCAGCAATTGTGCAGTGTCAGGCAATATAAGTACTGAAAAAAGTGATGTCCTCCAAGTATTGGGATCCCACTCCTGTGTGTTCTGCAATGGGAAGAAACTCTTTCAGTCTCATCAGGAACTGAAAAACCAGATTTGGCCATTTGTTTGCATTTATTGAGCTTCCAGGACATTCCGCCTAGTGGGAAGCTCTGGCACGAAAGCCCTCATTGGATATTTGCTTCAAATCCCAAGCTTAGGAGAACTGTAGCTACTGTTCTCACAGTGCCCAGCATGTTTGCTATTCCAGCTGGGAGTTGTGAGAATCTGGTTTCTAGGGGTGCATCTAAGAATGAAAGGGAGGTTCTGCAGAGATTAAAAAGATACGGGTATAGCAGGATTGTGGACCCTGTGAATGTTGCACGATGACTGCATCTTTCTACTACCTGCTGGAACATCCAGGACTCCCAGGATTCCACATGGGCCTGAAAAATGCTGCTCTTTTAAGAGCTGTCTTGAAATTAGCAAGTCGGCTCTGGAATGCCTTTTGGAGTTTACACTGAACCCTGAAAAGCCTGAGCAGCTTTAATGAATTTCAGAGGTGAACCCCAAAGCCCCTCACTCTTCCAGACTGTTGCTGGAGCTGACACAGCCTCTTAGGTGCTCGTTTGTGTACTTGTGCACTGAATGGTAAGACAGCAAGGTACCCTTCCTGTGTCCTTTCCAGGTGAATATGCTGGATCGCTTTGGACAGATCATGATTGAGAACTTGCAGAGTAAGCAGTGCGAGCTGGTGGGTGCAGACGCTTGCAGATCTCTGGAGACCCAGGTCAGATTTCCTGGACGGTGGGACTCAGCTTAGTAAACCCCCCAATAAAAGAGGGGGGCTTTGTCCAAACACTCGTGCTTCCATTCAAGTCCCAACTTCAGCCTGTGCTTTGCTCTACATGTTCCATTCAATAACACAGGAGTCCCCAACCCCGGGGTCGGTCTGTGGCCTGCCAGGAACTGGGCTGCACAAACAAGCGAAACCCCATCCACACATGCCCGAGAGCCAAGGAGCACATGAAACCATGAGCCTCCCAGTCCACAGAAAAAATGCCTTCCACAGAACCAATCCCTGACACCCAAAAGGTTGGGTGCCGCTGCCATAACAGACCTTGTTTTGGAGAGGTGCCAGGCTTGAGAAAAGGGGGTTGCTCATGCTGACCTTATGTAAAAGCCAGCTGACTGGCCTGATGGCCCTCTTGGTCTGAGAGCTGCACCATTTTTGTCCTTAGGAGTGTAGAGTTGGTCAGGACCATTTAGACCGCTGAGTCTAACTCCCTGCATGCAGAGAGGGAGAGCAGGAATGTAAACTGACCGTATCCCTGGGAGGTGCCACTTCAGCTCTTCCTTAAATGCTGCTTCCTGTTGAACTCTTCCTTCTGTGAGAAGATTTTTCATGATGTTCAACCAGGTTTCCTTGATGTTTTATCCATTATTTTACCCATCATTACCTTGAAAGATAGAGAGCAGGTCATGACTGTTTTCTTTATGACATCCTTTCAGTTGTTTAAAGGTTAAAAAAAGGATAATTTTTTGAAAATTGAAAAGGAATTTTCAAGGCTAAACCTTTTCCAGATCTCTCAGACTGTTAATTCTTTGTGTGGTGACATCTTTTCTAAGAACTCAGACCCCACAGCCTCTTCTAGTATCTTGCCCAACTCAAATATTAAGCTGAAAGGGGGGTAATCTTTTGAGTGATTTATCTTCTTTTTGAGTCCTGGAAAATCTGTCTTTAACAGATTTTTCTCCTGCATTTCATTCGCAGAAGGAACGATTCCTGCAAAATGGCTGGGAAACAGTAAATGGTCTTGATATGTTGAAGGTCTATCAGAGTTTGCCACCAGATGAGATCAAAAGGTAAGCTTCTCTTCTTGCTATTTTTATTCAGAGAGAGAGAAAGAGAGAGCACCCACAGGTGTATATTTGTATGCACTGAAGCAGCCCAGTAAACTGTGTGTTAATCTTCAGTGAAAAGGCGAACTTCCTCTGACTATGGTTTGAGCCAAGATGATAATGATGACAAAGACCACAAAGATAATGATGATAAAGTTTTAGAGTTAAACTATACTATATAGTTTATATATTATAGAGCTGTGGTAGTGCAGTGGTTAGAATGCAGTATTACAGGTTAACTCTGCCCACAGTCAGGAGTTCAATCGTGATCAGCTCAAGGATGACTCAGCCATCCACCCTTCCAAAGTCAGTAAAATGAGGACTCAAATAGTTGGGGGCAATATGCTGACTCTGTAAGCTGCTTAGAGAGCTTGTAAAGCACTGTGAAGTGGTATATAAGTCTAGGTGCTATTGCTATATCCGAAACTCTATATTTATCGTGCATTTTAGGGTGATCCCTGACATGTTTGTTTACAGGAGAAACAGATGGCAGATAGCACTGAATGAGCCACATGCTTGGTAGAGATAGGTGGAGGTGCTGTGCTCTTAAGCTCTCCCAGCCTGAGCATACGAAAGGACAGGCCACAGAGTGAGGCACCTGATGCTGATCTGTAGGTCCCAAGATTGGACTGGAATGAGGGATTTCAGTACTCGAACTAGCCTTGTTCCAAAACAGGAGCTCTCACTTGAAACCTAATTTGGAAGTAAATAGATAATATTCTTCCATGTAAATTATAATCTATTTGTTGAAAAATTGATGTATTTTTAAATTGCCTAACTCCTCCCCCCCTTTCCTAAAATTGCCAAACCTGGAACACAAGACAACAATCCTGCAGTGTAGTCTTAACCAGTGCATGTAAGAGAGGTTCCATTTACTTTTGCCAGGTGAGGTTGAATGGCTTGCCGAACTGAGTGAGCAGAAGCATTCCTGTGGAGCTCAGCTTGGTCTCCAGAGGGGTCTCCAGAACGCATGTCCAATTCTCCTGAATGTTGCTGATTCTTTGATCTTAGATGGGTCATCTCAGAGGATCCATGTAGATGTTAAAAAGCAAGGAAGACAAACTCCAGAGGTTTCCTATAAGCAAAGAGTTGTGGAGTGGAAATTAATCATGAAATACTCTTTGGTTTTGTAGCATTTTGCTCCAGCAAGGCAAGGTTTTGTGCTCACCTAAAAGTACAAACACTACCGACCACTTGAGAACCAATATGGCCTCAGCTGGCACTAAAGTGTAATAATAGTTTTATACTTTTTGTTCCAGTAAGCCTTAATTGGTTATCCTGGTATTTAAAAGGTACCAAAATGTCAACTCAGAATTCAGATGCAGCATCTAAAAACATTGTTATATTCGCCCCAAACTAGGAATGTGCAGAACTCACTGATAACCTCAGGAAACTGCCCCCGGAAGGACAAGGTCTGGAGGGGGAACGGAACATTCCAGGGTTCAACGGAACGTTCTGTTCCTGAATTGGTGAGTTTGCACATCCACAACCAAAACCTTTGCCAAAGTTTTTTGCTCTTTGTTCCTTCAAGCCCAGGTTTCCCATCTCTTCCCCTCTCTAAAAGTGGGTAACTGATATACTCGGAGAACCCACAACTTGTATTTTTCTTAATGGACTGAAAACATTGGATGGGTTTCCTATCTAAGAGAGTGAGTGAGTTGGAAAGCACATTTCGATGAAAGGAGGATAATGGACAGGACACATATTGTACTTGACACTAATGCGTCTTACTGATGCTTCTTACATTAATAGAAAATGTTGGAAAAATGAATACTGTGTGATCTAGAAATAAATTTTAGCCTTATTGCCAGGGAGAAAGACAGCAATTGTTCTATTTGGAGAATTTTGATAGTGGGATTACAATAAGTTGTCAATGAATAAATATTGGCCCATTGGTGTAGAAAGGGATGCAACGAAACCTTGTTTTTAACAGAATTATTTGCAGAAATGTTTGCTATTCACAAATGTCCATTAAATAGTACAGAACAGAGAGATATAATTATGTACCTCTGTTCTATTTAGCAGAAAATGTCTGTTCTTTGTATGATGATACTATGATACAAGCTACTTTACAAATGACTTAGATTCGTTCACATTTAAAGTTTTATAACATAAGAATTTGCAAAGTTATGTTTGGTTTCCTTCAGACAGGCTCAGATCAGAAAATTATCCTAGTAGGTTGTTTTTTTTAAAGGATTTGCTCGATATATGAGAATGGTTAGTTCCAGGGTTTTTCCTTGGTCTCACCGTAACGATGAGACTTGACCGAAGCTGATGAAATGCCCCTGTGATTGGGAAGCTTCTGTCTTCCTCAAAGCAAAGAGCCCTGTGGAATTAAAAGCACAGGAAAGTAAAATCCTACTTTTAAGGAATTGACTCTGCTGGAACAGTTTAATGGCCCCACAGTAACAGTGCAATGCTTTGAAAAGATAATAAGCATCTGAAAAGTTACTCTGTGCCTACCTAATAGAAAAGAGAAAAAGAATAACGGGGGATTTGTAAACTGAACTACATTACTTCGTAATCAGTTCATTAAATTTACACTTAATATAGAATAATTGAAAATATTATTACGTATTTTAACTAAATCAGTCTAAAGCTGTTGAAATACATTTGAATGACTTTCAGTCTGATCATATGACGTTTTTTATCGTGAGATTTTATAACTAAAATGCTACATACTGTGCATGCTTGATTTTTTTTAAAAAAGAAAATGTCCAATGGAGCCAAATTGATTTTGGGGTGCTCTGTAGGATAACACTCAGATCATGTCAGCTACCCACTTTGGTGAGGAAATGAAACCTGAAAATGCTGGAAGAAAAAGGAACAAACCAGTATAAAACTTTGATCTAAGTACTTGGTAAATACAGCAATGTTGGGGTGTGTGTCTTAAGGGTTTCCTTTGAACTCCAATTTCAAAGGTCTCAACCATGGGGACACAGACTGGGTTTTGTTGAGCAAAACTTTGGCTCTGTTGGTTTCATGGTACTCTGTAGCCCGCACAGAGGGCACGTCAATTATCCACTCTTAGTTGTTTTTCAAAAACTGTAATATAAAACTGAAGAATAGGTTTTGAGTGGAGACCAAATTTCAGAATGTTTGGTTTGTTATCTATTATTCTCTTAATATGGCTCCTCAACTCACAGATTGTGATACAGCCGTTCAGAGGCACCACCAGACTCTTCTGTTGGGCTCCTTGGACTGGCCCCCATCAAAAGTCGTGAATTTTGGGTTGGGCTGATATGTGCAAGGAGGCCTGGCTCAAAGCTTCCTTGTGAGCTTTGGACCTAGCTAGGAATTTGATCCTGGCTCTTAGCCATCCTGGTAGCTCCTCTCTAAATACAGCTTGTGTCTGCTACCACCTGTCTTGTTTTCTTCCTTCCTTCCAGGATAGAGGCACTTGAGTTCCTGGATGAGAAGGAACCATTTGAGCAGCTCATGCAACATTACTGCCTGTGCTGGGCTATCAAGGATTCCCAGAATTTAGGTATGGTCCTCCCTCTCTTGTCTCTTGCTTCAGAGCTTGAAGGACTAGTACAGGCGGTCTGATCTTGGACCTTTCCAGACCAAGTGGCATTTGTTGCTTCTCGCTATACCTGGAGGCAACTGGTCCACATGTGTCTTGGCTTGTCAGTATTTTTCCCCCAAATAATTTTTATTAATAAATATAAATGAAAAGAAAAAAAATCAATATAAACTATTAAAAATATAGAAAAATGTAAGAAAAGGGGAAAAAGAGAGACATAAAAAAGAAGCAGTTTCCCGCTTTATCCCAGCAGGTAAAAGTAATTTTATTAGCTGTGACTGTCTCTAAACAATCTCTCTTCTCCCAATAGAATACCTCTCTTAGGTAGGTCAAATGGTATGTCAATCCGTGTTTGTCAGCAAAAGTCCAATAAGGGCAAATATAGCAATAGCAATAGCAGTTCGACTTATATACCGCTTCATAGGGCTTTCAGCCCTCTCTAAGCGGTTTACAGAGTTAGCATATCGCCCCCAACAACAATCCGGGTCCTCATTTTACCCACCTCGGAAGGATGGAAGGCTGAGTCAACCTTGAGCCGGTGAGATTTGAACCGCCGAACTGCATTTAGCAGTCGGCTGAAGTGGCCTGCAGTACTGCACTCTAACCACTGCGCCACCTCGGCTCTATAGGTATTCTTTTAACTCTGGTCAAACAAGCCAATCTTATAAATCTTATTTAAATATTTAAAAAATATTCTTTAAACCATTCAAAAAGAGGCCCAGGGGTAATTTGCTGATCATCTGTTTCAAAGCAATAATTCTTCAGAACAGATTTCTTTTGTATGAACAAGTACAATTTATCCTTTTATTCTCTTTTTTTAAAAAAAAAACACCTTCCAAATCTTAGCAGAGCTCTTTTGTATATCCAGAAGGGGGAAAAATACCTAAATCAGCTTCTTGGTTTAATATCTTCTTTAGGGAACAAGTCATCCATCAAATTCAATTGTATTACATTTAAATCCCCTCTTCAATTTAATTTCATTGCCATTCATTGCAGCTCATTTTTGTTTTACATCTTCCTTAAGGACACACCCTTATCAGTTTCATCATGTGTTTGATCCATTCTGTCCAAAAGCTTGCACTATTCAAAAATGTACACTAAGGCAGGGTTGTCAAACTTGCGGCATCATTGCAGCATTACGTGACACATTGGGATTTCCCCCCCTCCCCTTTGTCTAAACCAGGCGTGGCCATGGCCAGTGCATGATGCATCCAGCCCTCAAGCTGCGAGTTTGACAGCCCTGCACTAAGGTATTCAATAGTTTTTTTTTTAAAAAAAAGCAATCTCCATTTGCCATGAAAAAATACCTTCTAAGTAATTCAGAGCTATAATTCCAAATCCCTCTGACCTCTTAATCTGTTGTTAAGTTTTCAAAATCCTTATACAAGCAGCATTCTTTTGCTTCATAGTCCAAAAATCAAACATTTGTAAAACATTTAAAATCAAATTTATGCCATCTCTTTTAAAGACACAGAAAGTTACCAATGAGTCCAGTAAAACCTTGCTAGTCCAATGTGTTTTAATAGCTCCAATACACAAAACATAAAATAATGTAAAAAGGTGATGAAGATATAAGGCTTGGTTGAGTTCAATGGCTGTAAAGGCTGCTCTGCAAGAGTGAGCTTGATGTTATCCCAACTCCCAGCCACTCCATTCATAAGCCATCCTTAAAAATGGCAAGTTTCTGCTGTCTGCTCACGAGGAGCAGCTGTCCGGAGAGCTGTATGGATCTCCCCTCAGATCCAGCATCTGCCTGGGATTCTTCTTACAAAAGCTGTCTTCTAGCCAGGAGAAGCCAGTAAGATGTCTGCTCACTGTGGGGCTTCCTGCAAGTGTCCTGCTTAGATGAGGGCTTTCAGGCTGCATTGGGAGGAACTGGAAGGTTCTGTGAGGGTTTGATAGGATTCCAAGAGAATCTGAGGGCAAAAATGATACAGAGATACACCCAGATACAGTTTCCTGTTACTAGAACTTTACTTCTTGATCGGGGTTTTTGGGAAATAGATTTTTCTGCTTAAAAAAGTGTCAAGTGTCAACAAAAGTCCCAATTTCTCCCATCTTTCTACAGGCCTTGCAGACATTACTCTGTGACGCATTTGCTCCAGTGGAGCTCCAGGTGAATCTGCTGCCCCCTCCCGGTGGGCCTCTGCATGCATCTGCTGCCCCCCCTGCTCCTGTGGAAGTGTGTGCAGGTGAACATGAGCCTTGGAGCTGTGGCAAGCAGCCTCCTCTCCCCCGTTCGTGGCACGTGACAACCTTTTGAATAAATTACTCTTTTTGTGAGCAGCCGAAAAACAAGCGAGTCTCTCTCCCTTTTGTAGGGATTTTTTCAAAAAAAAGTGGTGTTGATGAACGGAAAGGGATTTGGATTCCTCCTAGATGTCCGAGAGTTCTTGTCCTGCTGGCTGGTTCAGAACTGGGCTGAGTTTTTCCCCTGGGGAAACGCAGGGGGCCCTTTTGGCTGCCAGCAATCCCCTTCTCCCTGGCCTCATTTTCCTTCCTGAAATGATGTTCCTGGTGCATTTTCACCCTCTTCTGCCTTGAGTTTCTTGGTGTCTCCCGTAGGACTCCTCTTTCTTCTTTTCCCCCCAAAGGGAGCTGGCTGCAGTCTGGAAGCTCTCACTCTCGCTGAGGGGGTGGGAATTGTGTTGGTTTTGGGCCGCAGCTTCTGGGGGCTGTATTGAGATGCACTCCTGATCCTGAGAGAGTTAATAAATGGTGACGTTTTGTAAAGCCGTGTCATGCCCTTTTCTGATAAATCAATCATTTGATTGAACAAGACTCCAATGCAGCTTATGCCCAAAATGCCAGATGGCATGAGCACACAGGTATTTTCTCCCTCCCTAGGAAAGGGAGATATTTCCCTTTGTTTAACCTTAAGGAGTGGCCCTCCCCTGCTGGGAAGCAGAATCCTCCCCCCCTTCCCCCCCCCCCGAAATTTCCTCCCTGACTTTATCCTGTGCTTGATCCCCTGACCCATTTTCTTCTTTCTGTCTTCAGAGAGATTGTTTAAACAAGCCTTCTCTTCCAAAAAATGCTTTCCTTCCCTGTTTAGTAACCCTCTAAAGGGTTGAACCTCAAGTTAACCAGCACTCGAGTCCCTAGCCAGTTTCACCCTGAAGAGTTTTTCTCCTGCTAGTTGAGGCAGACTTTTGGAGTGCAGCAACGGGGACTCTTCTGTCAGACTACAGAGCCCCTGGTTCCCAACCTGAGATCTGTAAGCACCAACCTGTTGCAAACGTTTCCATTGATACCTGGGCTCCATGTCCCTCCTGGTTTTATATTTTGGTGGGAAACCTTCTGTTTCCCCTTTATTTATAAGAATCAGAGAATAAATGAGTGCTTTTCCGCTCTCAATGGCTCCTCCGTTCTTTCCTTAAGTACTTCCTTCATGCAAGGGAGGCTGAGATGACAGACAAAATGGGCAGCCTCCCCAGTTTGCTTTCTGGGAATGTGGGGATTGGTTGCCTTCTGACCTCGTAAAGGTGGGGCTAAAGGCTTACCTTCAGTCTGTGGAGCCCGGGAATTCTGCTCCCTTTTCTGATGATTAAGTGACAGATAACCAGCAATCTGCAGTGGGTCTGGGAGCAGGAGAAGTGCAAAGGATAGGTGCGAGAGGGTGTTGTGACTGAGTGTGTGCCCTGCCTGCCACCCTCTGTGGCTCTTGAGGGCTCCAAAGTTGCCCTTTGACTCCTCAGACATTCAGATTTTGACCAACTTTGGGAATGTTTCCCGTTTTCCAAGTTCTCTTCCAGTTGACCCTGATGGGCTGGGAGCTACAGTGCCTCGTGCAAAGAGAGGCAGTAAGGCAGGTGTTTCCTTGGGGGCTGGGAGAGAGAACAGAGCAAGTGCCTCCCCCCCCCCCTGCCATGGCTTGTACGGGAATGGATGGGAAGCAAAGGAGGTCAGAGCAATGAATTAGAAGAGTGAAAACCTGGTCACAGGCGGCTGCTTCTGTAGATGGACCTTCTTTAGAAGGTGGGCTGCTCCTTCCCCTTCAGCACTCTTCACCTGGCTTCAATTAGCAGTCCCCCAAGGACCGCAAGGGGGCAGCACTTACATGGGGCAGAGGAGGAGCTGCTGCTGCTGCTGCTGCTGCTGCTACTGCAGGAGGAGGATGGTCTGTCAGAGCTAATCTGGGATCAAGCTGGGTGTCAAAAGGGTCCCCAAAGGCCAGAGTGGAGCGGCAGCAGGCCAAGAAGTTGCTTCCCTCTTGGAGGCCTTCGCTCCCTGCCAGTGGCGGCTCACAGCTCAGCTGCTGCCAGCAATGGCCACACTTGGCCCAGGCCTTTGCGCCTCTGAACCTGGGCTGCTTGGCACTGAAGTCTCTGGAATCCACCTTTGACGAGGTGAAGTGCTGCCTCTTCCCCTCCTGGGAGGCGCCCTTTGCTTCCTCCCTGATCTGCTCTCACCTTTGCTTTCAAAGAAATATTTGGGAAGGGTTAGGAAGCTGATAAATTATTTTTATTGGGATGGTTGGCAGCTACCAAATTCTTCAGGCATTTATTGGAACAGCTGATACTGCATATTTTCTGCTGGGTTGTTTACTTTTAACCTTGGCCTCTACAGTGAGATAAAAGCCCTTACCTGCTCAGGGAGGTGCGTGGTGCTCACGTTCACACCTGTTCTGGCCACAGTGGGAGGCAGGACTTGGAAGAGTGGCTTGACTGAAAAGTCCTGGCTAGAGGCACCAATGGGGAAGAAGTTACCAAAGCTGCTTCTTTGAAGGAATGGCTAAGCTGTGCTGCTAAAAGGAACAATAACAGAATAACAGTACTGGAAGGGACCTTGGAGGTCTCCTAGTCCAACCCTCCAGACAAGCAGGAGACCCTACATCATTCCAGGCAAGTGGCTGTCCAGGCTCTTCTTAAAAGCCACCAGTGATGGAGCACCCACAACTTCTGGAGGCCAGCTCTTCCATCGATTCTCACATTAGGAAATGTCTCTTTAACCAGGTTGCTGCTCTCCTTCATTAATTTCCATCCATTATTTTTAGTCTTGCCTTCTGGTGCTTTTTTGGGTGCTTCAGAAACCAAAAGCACTGAGATGCCCCACTTTCCCCCAATTCTTCCAAATCATGGAGATGATTTTTCAAGCACAGCTTGCAGTTGAGTCTGCTCAGAAGTCTAGTGGGCCAACTGTGGCCTACAAGAGTAAGCTGTAGCTCTGCCAGAGAGCAGCACTTCTACCCCCACCAAGATCTTATTTAGGCGCAATGATGGAGCTAAACGTGGGCTTTTGCATGCATAGCTGACCCAGGAGCTGAAATAGAAACTGCCATGGTTGATTTCTCCAGCTGCAAAATAACATGGCCATTAGCGCTCTTTGAGCTTGGGTGTTTTCTTGCAGATGTTTCATTTGCCCAACTAGGTAACCTCATTGTTGATGCTGATATTAATTGTCATTGGGAATGAAAGACCAAGAAAACAACCAACTTCGGAGAGTTTTTTTTTTTAGAGATTTTTTTTTTTTTAGAGATTTTATTAATATTTGTAGGCCGCCCTTTTCCCTGAGGGGACTCAGGGCGGCTCACATAAAATCGGGGAAGGGGAGATACAGACATTAAGATAAGACATATAATAAAATAATAAACAACATACATTCATCATTCGGGAGGGGAACTATCCTTGTCCCCAGGCCTGGCGGGGGAGCCAGTTCTTCAAGGCTGTGCGGAAGGCCTGGACGGTGGCGAGGGTGCGAATCTCTACGGGGAGCTCGTTCCAAAGGGTC